CATGCAGAAACAAACTCATATACACTCCAAAGCGAGCCACAAGCCCCTCCTTCTCTGCCCACTAAAAAAACCACCAAATTGGGTTAATTTGCTTATGAAAGATTGGGTAAACAGCCCCCAGAGGAGAGAATTTTCAACATAAAAGATTTAACCCAGTGGCTAATATGCAAATTTATAGAAAAAGAATTGGGACTCTACCAATTAATGACATTAAAAAAACTGTTCATGTCTTTAATATTTTCACGGCCCAGACTGCATTTTTATTTTTTAATTAAAAATGCAAACACATGATCCATGGAGACGATAATCCTGCCATCTGTTGACTTCATAAACGCTTAGTCATTATGCTCTTCCGTCTACCCCTGCACAACACCCACACAACTGGGGTAAAATGTGGCTTTTCACAAGAAACATAAAAATTTCCAAGGCAACCCAAGGTACAACTTGAACAGTTCAGTTAACAAAATGACAAAATGCACATTACTATTGTGACAAAACAACTTTTGAAACCCACGCAAAATATGCCCGCATAAATACTTCTTCTGCAAGTGTGTATTTCCCCATCGGTTTTGGTTTTTAGTCTGAATGATAATGGCCTGCTATGATTTCACGTCTCCGGGGTTAGCTGTGTCATTAAATCCAAACAACAGAGCTGCAATACAGCTGTTAAACAGGGCCCAATTTCTGCCAAAGTGGACTGACGACAGCATGGTAAGAAAAATGATCTGATACTAATCAACTGGCCATAAAAACGGATTCTCTGTGCCGGTGAGTCTGTGCAGAAATGAAAATTGGGACAATCAACAGCTCATTTTTTCAGTGCCATCTGCTTGGGCTAGTTGGAAAAGTTCAATGTTTTCTCAAACCCCGAATGGCAGATTTCAGGCAAACTCTGAACTGCGCGATGACACCACAGGGGCATCTTTCACAGGTAGATCTGCAGTTCCTGTTTCCTAAGATTTTTTGGCAGAGAAATAAAAGCCCCATGACTTTCATGACCATCTGGTTACGAATACTTCAGGGTAACATTTTTAAGAATTTTATTAAGCTACCTTCCCTCACAAGGCAACCTTTTTTTAAATTCTAGATTTACAAAACAGAGTTGAAATTAGATAAAATAAAATAGAGACAAGCCAACACACTGATTTGAATTGGCTTTTTGTTGGGGATTGTAAGTTTCCAATAGGTTTTGCCTTTACATCACAAATATATTTACACTTTATGCTCAGTGGTCTTCACTCGACGATTGGCAAACTCGTCTACAAGATATCTGTACTAGTAAGTAGGAAAACGTGGGTTTAAATCCCACGCAATTAAGCTTGCGCTTCTTTTGCAACTCCCAGACCACACTGAGAGTACACTGTGAATACAAACATCGGTGTAATGGGAAAAAACATAGCAGAAAATTACCACCACTGATGCAGAGTCAATTCAAATCGACGTGCTGGTTTGGCTGGAGAGATTTCATTTGCAACTCTGCATTCATGTTGGTATACGTCAAATTCTTATTGGCCTCTTTTTGGGTAAGCACATTAAATGCCAAAAATGTCATGATCAAACGGCATATTGTATTCTGACTGCTCGGCACTATTTCTGCTCATAAATTCACCACAATAACACTGCTGCCAGCCAATGGGAGACTGAGACGCTGGTGGCAGTAGACATGCTGGTCCTTTTTCTAGATATTGCTCGTGCTCAGAACTATGCACGCATGCTCAAAACAACACGCTCACGCTCAGAACTGATAAAAAGGACTGGCATGTTTGTCGCCACCAAGTCTCTCAAAGTCTCCCATTCTCTACGTCAAATTCTGCGTGCCATTGGGCCTCATTCCAGTTCAAAACCCATTTCACAACAGGATCCCGTTTCGCCTAGTCCCCGGCGTGATTTCCAGCTCATCACAGCAAAGAGACTGGGAAGCCTAATGTTGTCACCCTGGTCTGCACACACCTTTGGACAATTTGGCAGACCAGATATATGCAGAACAACAGATCACTCTTTTGGGCGGTTAAACTAATATAAAACAGTGTAGGTCCTGTGCATCTGTGCTTAGACATGTTCCCTCATGCAGACCAGCCCTCCAACCAGTCAGTGATAATAAAAAAAAAAAAGTGGTTTTAGTGTAGCTGCTATCCACTGTGCTATTTTGTTGGATGCTGAGTTCAGGGCAGAAGTAGGTCGGGTTTACTAGACCTTTCCCTCATCTTCATAAAAGAAAACCGACCAGAACATGCGGGTTGTTTACTCTCATTCGTTTGGAATGGTGGATCTGCAAACCTGCTCAAGTACAATCAGACCTCTAACGGGAGAGTGATTAGAGAATGATGACCCCCATCCACAGACACCCCCCCAAAAACATAATTAGGGCATGGAAGAACTTGATCCACTTTGTTCATAGATAAAAATTTCTTCTGAGTAAGTGCTGATTCAAGTTGCAAACAACCTCACTTTAAATTCAGAAACCAACAGAAACGACACCAGGAAGCAGGCGCAAGTCTTCAGTCTCTCCCAATCGGATGCCATATTTTACTTTCAAATTTATTTCTCTTTACTCAAGACCAGCCCCACTCCCCCTTCCCCAAAAGACCTCTGAGAAAGAAATCCCCCAAACACAGTAATATCACTGGAACAAAAACTCTCCGACATTTGTACACAGATAAGAAAGAAAAAGTCAATGAAGTGTCCATCATACAACCATTGCTGACATGAAAACAAAACTCTTCAAATTGCTTCAGATTGCTTTTTTCCCCCAAATATTCTCTTCTGATGGATACAGCATGTGTACATGTACGCAAGACTAACGCTTACCACTGAAGCAGCTTTCTTAACATCGACCCAAATTCACTGTGCCCCTTGTCTAAATATCATGCCTTCAGCTTTTTTGTTGGGAACCACCCAGCCACTTACTTTGTCCCCATAAAGCTATGTGCACATTAACTTTTTCTAACCAGTTCCAAATACCTGTATTACCTTAACAACATTTTGACAAAAATCTGATCCTAGATGGACAGGGTACGAAAAATCCATTAATTTCCCTCCGCTTAAAAGTGAAAAAACAACAAGGGGCAAATTCCATGTAGCTGCCATACAGGAAATACTGCTAAGCAGGTTTATGCACAAAGCAAGTATCAGTAAAGAGCCGATCACAAGCAATATACACTGCATGGTAACTTAGCCGGTAACCTGTTCTCACAAAGTAAAGTACATGTAGTTCCCGTGCGGAGCAGCTCCATGCAACTGGTCCCCTGTGCTCTGATAAATAATGCGAGCAGGTTGCAAGGATGGACTGCTACAATTCGTTTCCGGACAAAACGGCACCACCTTCAGCTGATTCAGTTAAACATGCTGAACTTGTAACATTGCTCCAATAAACTACATCTGGCAGAGAGAACCTTTCCACACTGCGAGGGTGGACTCGAGGTCCTGCTGTACATTTCATTGAAAATTCTTGTCAACGCCTTGGCAAATTTGCCACAAAAGCAAAGTTGGACTGAGAACGAGCTTCCTGGTGTGCAGGCTACTTAAGGGTGTGGTGGGATTGTGGAAGGGGGCTGGCCGGGTCAGCTCGTGGGGGCTTGAGCAGCTCACTTCCCCATTCCCATCCCATCTCCACGTGGACACATAGGTCAAATGACAGCCCCTGAACCTGGGCATTCAGCCAATGCAACACAGGAAGTGGAAAGTACTACCAGAGAGTGGACTCCAATCAATGTGGGAAGTACACAGCGTCAATAAAGCTGGGCACGACCAGATACATTTGGTAACAGCTACCTCTGTCTCGATCCAGCCAGCAGACATGAACCGTTGGTTGATAGCCTATAAAAAATCCCCTTGAACTTTTGACTGGGACCCATCACTGAACATGAGCAATAAAATGCACAAGAACATAGGGAGGTTAAGAATAACATCGACTGCCAATGTATACAAGCAGTTGGCAGAAAAAGCCACTCTGCTACTGCTTCATCAAATGAAGGAAAAAAGTCGATGAAAAGGATTTTTGTGTGACTATGAGGGCAAACTGAGGTTATGAGAGAATTCACATTAACAGAAAAGGGACTGACCTGCTTTAAAAACTTTAAAAAAAAAAAATCTACAGTGTCCTATACTCGCTAACACTATTGAAACCAAAAATGTCTGACTCTGTTTAGTGAAATCCAATCAAGATGAAACTGGGCTGAACCAGTTCCAACCAGTGCTGGTGCATTCTCACTGGTACCCCGCTGATGTCTCTAATGATGCTTTCCTACAGCCAAGAGTTCTGAGATTCTGGTCCAGTCTGACCAAACACAGACTGAGCCACTGATCTGCCCTCGCATCAAACGACACCATCCTTGCTGAGTGCAAGTGGCTACTGACAACTGTGATTCCGTCGTCTATTTTGTCTAATACAAATACAGGATATTAGTGTTTCTCAGATTTACGCAGTGACAGTTGGAAACGTCGTGTCAAACTTGAGTCTACCCCCTAATTGATCCTATCATTAAGCCTAAATAATCGCTTTAAAAATAAATGAGAAATTTCAGGAGCTTTTGCTCTTGAAAATGAGGCACAAATATGTTTATTTGCGAGTGTGTTAATTCTACTATACACTGGTTTCATACACCTATGACATATCTAGTGATAATCAAGGTAGGTTTCGTTCGGAGCCAATAAGAGCAAAAACAAGTCTGTATAAACCATTATCAGCATCTTATTAAAACCCTCTTCCACTTTAGGCTTATGTGCAAGGTTTACCGATACCGTTACTCAAACTGTTAACCCTCAACATCGCAAGCGAAAAAAAGGCAACTGAACTGGAACATTCATCGGGTTGTGACCCCGATGAATGACGAATTCATTCGCTCAGAATTGGTCAATAACCACTGTCAACTGTGGACAGAATCCAAGTAACAATCAAACAGCCCTGTGGCTTCATAAATAACACAAAAAAAGTGATATCAATTCATAAACCTCTAAACGTGGTTAATATCAGGTAATTTATAATTATTTTTACTGTCATAGAACCGGTTGAAACTGGTATAAAGTATGGTGATGCATTACTCCAAACTTGTTGAATTCAGCATCTCGTTTTGGTAAGCGAAGCCTGGACAGTGAGGTCCAACCGAATGTACCACTCATCCAGTCATGTCCAGTGACACACCAGACGACGCACATAGTGACAAACTGGTTGGCAAGTCCGGTGACAGAACAGGCTGACACACAGTGTGCATGCAATCAGCTGCTGCCCGTGCAGTGGCATAACGTACTACACATACCGCGACATATCCGGTGATACAGAGAATTCCTTCTATCTACTTATTCTGAATCAAGCTCTTTGTTTCAACCACAACAAATCATATGCATTGATTTTACTGTTCTTGTTTTTTTTGGCACTTCCCCCAAACCAGGCGATGATACAAACCTGGTTTGAAGATTCAAGTGAGATATCCAGTCACGAGCAGGGTGACAGACAGGGTGACACACACACACACATACACCCCCTTGACAGACAGTGCGACAGATGAGACATGCGCCTCTCACTCTCTGTTGTCATGGTTTCTTTTTTACGTTGTTTGCTCCATTTGGTTTCTTCGGTAGCTTCCTTCACCTCTGGTCCGTCATTTGCTGGCGTTTCAGCAACTCCTCCAGAGGGGAAGGCTTGTGGGTGGAGCTTCCCAGGGGGCTGGACCAGATGGACTGCATTGAAATGACGAAAGGACTGACATGAATTTCACAAGGTTTGGCGAAAAGCCTTTCATTCCAAAATCATCCGCTTTGAATTCAAACAACGGAATGAAAACTTACCCTAAAAAGACAATTGTGCAATTTCATTTCAAATATGAATTAACTACAGTACATGTATTTGTCCACATCCAAAATAAACAGAACCAAAATTCACCAAACACCAATGATCAAAAACTGAGTTCAGCATTCATTCAGAATATTACAAATAGATTCCATAGAAAATTCAGGTTTCACCCTCACTTTATTAATAGCATACACAGTGGCTGGTCAGATAATTCACTACTAAAGGTTATTGTGGCACAAGTTAAGAATTATGCTGCACGGGTGGAATTTGTGGGTGGATTTGACTCTGACTTTGCTAGAGGAATAAATAGAATATGGTTCCAAAAATGTATCAGTTTATCAAATTTTCAGAGAGATTTGGAGGAAGCCACAAATGTCACACTTTTCGATTTGATTCAATCAGATTCAATCAGGAGAACATCACTTATGTTTCCATACTTGTAAAAAGCAGGCACTATCACTGGAAGGACTAGTTTACATGGAATGAAGATATGCACAGGCATATGTCAGGGTTCCCACAGAGATCTGAAAACTAAATTCCATGAATTTTCCCAGGGCTTTCCAGGGCTAAAATAACATCTCCATGACATTTTAATGTCATTTTGCAGAGAAAGGTTGTTTGATGTTTTGAACTGGGAGACTGCCAGTCATTACTACCAACTGACAAGGATAGCCTGCAAAATGTATCATTATTCCATTATTGCATCAAAAGTGACCCATCAAAAATAACCCTTATATGATCTTGATTTCCATGATTTTTTCCTATGACTTTTTTCCTCGGACAACAGGATTCCAGGACACCCTGTTTTATCCCCAATTTTCTCATGAATTTTCCAAGACTGTCCAGGACATTTTTCCCCAGATTTTCCATGGCCGTGGGTAACTTGCATATTGTTATAGGCAAAGACTGACATTTCCCCCTCTACCCACCTGTATGGAGTCCGGCAGCAGGCCGCTGGTTGGGGAGCTTGAGAGCTGGTGGCTCCGGGCTGGTCGGCTGCTCCAGGTCCCTGCCCCACCTGCCACCCCCCTCTCTGAGCCCCATCCCAGGCCCCCGCCCAGACCGCCGCCCAGCTGGCTCTTGGTCTGGGTAGCAGGGGACTGGGAACGGGGGGAGCTGGGCGAGCTGGAGAAGGGGGAAGGGTTCAGGTTGTGACCTGGCGGAGGACAGGAGAGAGAAAGGGCACAAGTTGAGCTGACCGGCGGTCAAACTTAAATGTTCATGAAATTAGGAGAAACATTAGTATACCTGTAACAAAGCCCAACAACTCGAGTAAAACGGCAATTACCAAAATCTTGCGTTGGTGTGAATTAAAAGGAACACAAACATTTTCCACTCAAACCAGAAGAACATAAATCTGTGGCCATTAAAGCCTACATGTTGTCTCTAGACACAGCAACAACTGCCGAATATGGCCTGACAATGGACACGTCAAGATGGACTGGTCCCTGGTCCCTGCGTTATGGACTCTCAATGGACAGGAGCAAGATACATGTCCCCTGCTAACACCTCCCATCACACAACTCTGAATTCACCTCAGCTGTCTGCTCTTAGTGAAAGTGATTGTGATACTTTGTAATTCATTCTTAAATATAATCATGAGGGATTATCCATTTTTTTTAAAGAACCCTTTCATGTGTTTGACACCTCCCCAACAGAAAATGGAACCAGCCGTCTCCTCATGATAATGTGGATGAGGACAAGGGTCGTTCATGATCCCCATTGGTGATTGACGGTGAAGTTATTAAGAACTAACGAGGTTCCTCCATCCCACGCACCAATCCGGAAGCTCGGCCTACCCCCGAACAGTCGTGACATTTGGTCTCCCGTAACACACCCCCCCTCCGCCAAAAAAACCCACCCAAAATATCACCAGCCTGCCTGCAGCAATGACGTACTTGATACTTTTGTGCTCCAGTAACCCCAAATTGCACACATGAATCAATGTTTGTCCGACAGCACATGACGACAACGAGGCCAATCGGTCGGGGCAAAAAAGACTGATAAATTAGGCTGGCAAGGCCAATTTTATACAAGTGAATCCCATCTTCAGCGATGCCAACATTATCAGACATAGGAAAAAAAGAGTTGCAGCGCCGCCTCTGCACATTTGACCCAAGAAATGGAGCAAATTCTGGCCACTGTAAGGAAATTAAGAAAGAGAATCACTTGTCTTTATACTGAAGGAAGTTTCAAGCTTTTGCATTCTGCTGTTTCATTCCACCAAAGTGTGCAAATTAATTTGCCGCCTCCTGCCACTGCCAGCAGATGTGCTGTAGTTGTGGTTTTAAAAAATGTGGCCAACTTGCTGGTAGAAATATTGCACAACGGGATAAAAAAAACCTAAAAGCTTCTTCACTGTTAACATCATTGCTTTCTGTTAGAGTTTCTCTGACCATGGAGGATTCAACTCATTTTGTCTCTAACGGCAATGCGGTAGCATACCAAAATTATGCCCACAGAAAAGTGTGCTTTTGTACTGAAAAAAGCTGTCGATCTGTTTTGAATAATTAAAACCATCTTTTAAAAAAAATTGTTACTTTGCATCTTCTTTGATATCTCCAACAATGTTACTACTGAATTCTGTCAAAAAGTCAATGTACTTTTGCAGGATGAAAGGAGGACACTTTAACTGAACTGAAGTGAGCTGTGAATGGAACGCTGTGCGGCCCAGTGAATACTGAACATTAACATTTACCAATCACCTGCCCATCCAGCCTTCCCATCCCCGATGCCAAGCTATTCTTATTGCTGCTAGGTGTGAAGGGCCTTAGGGTGTTTCCAAATTGACCGAGGGGCCTTTCAAGAGATTAGTTTTTTTTTTGTTCCCTCGGTGGTCAGACCATATAATACAGACAGACCACTAGCGCTGTTACAGGAGGGAGGAATTCCACTGTCCAGTTGTCTATGAACAGCAAATGATCTTATCTTTGTCGTTAAAGACAACTGATGCGGAGCGGTCGGGGTGGACGTCCCAAGTGCACCCCTTGAGTCTGATGTAAGAGTCTGCCCAGTCAAGATATCAGTTGTTTACATTTCATTGAAAATATGTAAAACCTAGTGTTGTATTCGAGTCCATCATGAGTCCTTTCACAAGTCTCTCCACAAGTCCATCACAAGTCCTTTCGCAAG